GTGCCTATACATGTTGGTTCTTTCCCCAAAATGTCAATGGAGTTCAGATTTTTTTTAAATAGAAACCCTGCAGACGATCACTGCAGAAACCACTTTGCTGTGGGCTACCCGTGCGTATGCAGACCACTGCAAGAAGGCTCCACCAGACTGCCCAACGAAGCAAAAGGACAGGTGTGCTTCCACTGGAACCGTTTGTTTAAAGTTCGGCCACTGTGTTTTTTTTACCCCGCTCTGGTTTTTGACCCTGAGAAACTGGCACAACGGGACCTGGCTTCAATGCGTGATCTCATGGAGGTGTGCGCCCTTTGGATTGGGATCAAGGAGTCTGTCCACAGCTATGTCGGCTCTGAATGCTTCAAGAAGCTTCAGGATATGTTTGACAATGGGTTCTTTGGCCTTAAAAACATGGGGCGGTACAAAATCCCTGGTCTTCAGGATAGTTTTCCCAAACCCGTCATAATTTGATTGTCAAACCAAGATCCAAAAAATACATTCATTTAAAAAAATCGCGACATTTTGTCCATTTGGAAAATTAATCATGTATTCTGCCAAACAAAATCCAAGTTGCCAGCAATCTCTGCTTCTTCGAAGGAATCCTGGGAATATCCTCATTTTTTTTATTTGAGGACATTTTTGGCCTTCAAAACCAAAACAATAATTGTACATGGTTGGCAAACAACCCCCCGGGTATTGGTATTTTGGAAACCCTCCAAAAATACGTGGTTTCAAAAAAAATCGCGGTACAAAACTCCTGGTAGATTCAGAGACCCGGTCATAAAATCCCTGCAAGAAACCTGGGACCGGATATGAAATTCCTGCCACATTTCCAAGACCGGATATCAAAATCCGGCCACCTCACCTCACCAGGCAATCCCTGCCCCGCCTCTGCAATTTCCACCAGAAGAAGCCAGCTGAAGTTTGCCTGGGTGTGCTTTTACTTAAGGACACTCGACGCAGAGCTCCGCGCACATGCCAAAGCAGTTGATGAAAGCTTTGATTGGCAGAAATTGAGCTTCGTTTTGGAGGCCAAAGGCGTGGCCCAAGATGAGGAACTCAACAAGGCCCAGTCGAAAATCAACAACGCATTGCAAAACTCTTTGCAAGCAGGGTGGTCGCTCTTCGAGACCAATGTCCAAAATGATCAGCTACAACACCGCCGCTACATCTTGGCCTCCTCCGGCGATGAGGCAAAGGCGCGAGCAGCAGCAGTTGCATCCTTGGAGGTGGGAGGTGTTTTTTTGGCTAAATGAAGGTTGGTCAAACACTTTTTGGGTTTGTATGTTCACCTCTTGGAAAGGGTTCACCTCCTTGCATTGAATTGCCATGACCTTGGACAGAAGATGCATGGAGTAGCCTGGAAGCTTGTGAACAACACAGTGACAGAAATTTGCCCAACCTGGTGCAATGCTGCCTCGAACAACAAGAGCACTTCTGTTGGCAGTCTTTTGGTGCAAGATCACACTTTTACTTTTGGGGGGGTTTGTCTCTGACCCTCAACTAGTGTCGTGCCATCATGAAAAAATGAGGTCCCGATGGCGACACCGAGACCAGTGGTCTCATCGATGCAAAGCTGGCACCATGGTTGTCGGAGACCCTGAGTGGCTTGAACTCTGGTGTCCGCCGGCCAGAGCATGAGCTCATCCTGGGGTATTTCAATTTGACGAGTCAAGGCGTACTTTCTACCCACAAGCTGCACTATATGCTGAGTCAAGTGACGACCTTGTGCCATAACAATCCCAGATCTTTCGTGGCTGTGATTGTTCTTCCGAACCGAGCTGGGGATCCCAGGGCTGGAGTGAAGCCCCACAGCTGGAAGTGCACACTTTTTTTTTGGTTCCTGGTTTGTTTCAAACCCACACCACACTCTTTTTTGTCCAACGCCCCTGGCCTGGCTTCATCAGGTCAGAGATCAAAGCGGAAGAAGGGGAAGAGAAATCTGAAGATGAAGATGGTTTCTCTTCTCAACAATCAGTTTTTTGCTCATATAACGCCCAAAACGGACCCCCAAAACATGATTTGGACATTTGGACATCCACAGCCGATGTTCCAAAATGTTCCCCAAAACGACAAACCTGGGTGGCCCAAACGCTCTCAAAACAGAAGCAAAAACATCCAAAATTGATGTTCAAACCGGTCCCAAAACGCGCCCCAAACCCTCCAAATATTACACGCGTTTTAGGTTTTGGGGTGCGCTGTTTCAGAGAATATATGGACCTACCAGGCGTGAAAGGCGGAGATGGTGGTGGTGATGAAGAGGACGAAGCCAATTTGTCTGATGATGATCCGAAGAGTGGGGACCTGTTGCTTCGCGATTTCACCTACAAAATTCGTTGCGCCTTCCAGGAGAATGGCAGGAATCTAAAGGTGGCAGGGTCAGTTATGCCAAATCCCTCGGGTGTAGCTGGACCAGGTCAGGTCTATACAGATACCAAGTCCCTCGGGTGTAGCTGGAAATGGTCAGGTCTATATAGGAATACAAAATCTGTCGGTTGTTGCTGGAAATGGTCTTATAGGGATGCCACATCCTTCGGTTGTTGCTGGAAATGGTCTTTGTTTGTTGCAGTTGCCCTGAATCAGGTGAGGCAAGCGATTGTCAACTTCGAGCCCAGCAGCGTCTATGGACAGAGGAATGCGTTCCAAGAGATCTTGGTCATCACTAGCCCAGAGAAGCAGAACCTTTCACACAAGGGCAAGCTGTGGAAGCAAGGGGTGGTTTCTGGTGTGCAGATGCTGAGCCGCTCCGAAATGGTCAAGCCACCCCGTGCAAAATGGGGCGGGGATCCACGGTTCACCAAGGTCCAGGAGATGAAACAGGCCTAAGTGAGCTGAAAACAATGTTTCACTTTTTGTGTTACTAATGGGTGCTTTCTTTTAAGCTTAAGCCCTTAGCCTTGCAACCCCTGGAGTACTGCGGCGGGGAGTCCTTCATCTCCAAAGTGGTTGATGGACTCGTTGTTGGAGACCCACCAATTGTCATTATGGACATGTTTGGTTTCGATGCATGGCCTGGCCAGTTCGCGATTACCCAGTTTGCTCGTGGAGCCTCGCCCTGGTTTTGTTGTTGTTTCTATTTTGTGTGGTTTCAAGTTTTTTGTTGCGATTTCAAGTCTTTTTTGGTTCCTACTCGGTGCACACAGTCTCATCAAAGGCAAGAAGTGCGCATGTGCGACAGTGTGCCATTCCCAAGCAGAGACGGCTTTTGTCAGCTCCGTGTTGGCCACGAAGGTTTTCTCGATGGCCCGCTCAGGTGATTTCCAGATAGCAGCGTTTCCTGATTTCCAGGGAGCTCTTGCCCAGATCAAAGAGTTTCAGAAAAGCCCCCAGCCCTCTTACCAAGTCTGCGTCGCTACTGGAGATGGCTCCCTTGTTGTGCGTCAGTCGCTGGTGGAATTCTGGACCAAGAAACACCCGAGCTTCAGTGACCAAACCTTGCGACTTCTTGAGAAGCACAATGCAGAATTTAACCTGAAGGGGTTGAAAAGAGGTGCTGAAAGCGAGGAGGGCCAGACTCAGGAAACCATGGAGAAGGAGGAACCGCAGCTTGCTTTGGGCACAGCAAAGACGATAGCAGACCTTGAGTCTAGTTACCCAGACGTGGAGAGGCTAGGAAAGGGATCATTTGCTGATTTGTTTCCTCTACTCCAAACTTACTGTACCGTTGTGTCTTTACATTGTTTGGTTTTAATGAAGCTGTTTAAGCACTGTTTGGTTTTGTTGATTCGGTCATCCATTGTTTTGACAACCTGGCCAGGCTTGAGCTCCAGTGTGGACACTTCATGTTGACTTTGTGTGACGACCAATCCTTGTGGATTGGGGCTTCTGGGGCCTATGTGGTGGAGAGCAACACAGAGTTATTTGGATTTGGCAGTGGCGATTTTGTCAAGGGCAGTGAGAGCAAGGACGTCATGAGCGATGTCTCTGCGGATGGGAGGTGGTTGCTCTATGCGTTTACCAGAGCGCAGCAGCCTGTGATTTTAGAGAAGACCCGGCAAGCACCATCCCACTTGGAGTCCCACACCTTTTGGAACCAAGCCTCTTGGAAAAAGAGCAAAAAGACTGTGTGGGCAACCATACCTTCCTACACCCAAATGGTCAGTCAAAAGAACTCCCCAAAAACCTTCTGAAAGAAGCCATTTTGCCTGTTTGATTTGTTCCTTTTTTTGGTGGCAATCTCAGTCAAAAGAACACCTCAAAAACCAGCAATAAGTCATATTTCCTGGTTTTTGATTTGTTCTTCTTGTTTGGGACTGCCCCTCCCACGCTCCACACCATTTTGGCCACCATGACCCTGGTTGACAACATTAGGTGATGAATCTGAATGACCTCCTCAAGACTTTGGAGAATCATGGGGAGGTGAATCACAGCCTTGCTGAGCACAAACTTACAAAGGATGATGTGGGCAACTTTACTGTGTCCCCTACTGATTCCGTATGTTTTGTGCTCGATGCTGCAAAGCACCGGAAGAAGAAAGCAAAGGCAGGATCTTGACTATTTTTTCTGTTACCCAAAAAACATTTCACTCCAATCTTCTAGAACACCATCCTCTGTAGTTTCTTTGTTAAAGACACCATCACAGTGTTGTCCTATATAAGGCCCTTTGACCTCTTGGCAGGTCCAAAGTGCATTGACCTTCGGAGCCAAGATGAACTTTGTAAAGATTCGGTCTTCCCACAACATCCAGATTGCTTGGCGTTTGAGGCCTGTTTTCGTTGAGTGCCAACCCAGTCGACTTGCCCAAAACGTTCCTGCCTGTTTTCGTTTGATCCCCAGTGGCCCAAAGAACTTCTCTGCCAGGCTTCACTCGGAGAACGGCTCTGCAGGGACACAGCTGGTTCCTGTCCGGCCGTGTGCGATCACAGCCGGCTCTGTGAGCATTCAAGCTGGGCAGGTCTTGCAAATTCTGTGAGGGATCTTTTTTCTGTGTAGGGCCTGGCCACCTCTGTTTGGTTTTGTTGGTTGGGTTCAACTTGATGTTTTGTTTCACTGTTTGGTGTTGATCGGAGTCATACCAAAAACCAGCGTGTATCTCTTCAGCTGGTGGCATTGTTTGAAGTGCAAAGGCCTCCACAGGGTAGCACAAACTTCTCAGGGAGTGGAGGCTTAGGACCAAAACAGTTGACCTCTAGAGGCTCCAACAAAATGCAACAGGCATAATATGTCTCCCAAAAACATGTCTCCAAAAAAACGGTTCAGGGTCTAAGAAAACGGTCATGCCTCTGCAGCGTGGTCCCATTGCAATGCAATGGGTAGAAGTGCCAGATCCTTGTGGAACGGCCAGGGGTCACTCACGATGAGATCGTGTGATGTCTTGAAAAAAGTCAAACTTTACAGTGTGCCTTTACACCTGTTTTTGTGCACTTGAACTGCCACTTTCTCGAAAGAAAACAGTGGGAGTCTTTCTCAAAAAGGCTTTCTAGGGTCTCGGGCGGTCAAGTCCATGTCGATGGAACCTGGCAGCGATTCGATGGGGGCGGCAGGCAATTTTTTGTCTTCGCCCACCTTCTCTATGAGGGACTACATGAGCATGGTTGATGGGACCACAACCACACCAGGTCCAAAGAAACCGTCTACGAACCCTAGTCGCCCCACACAGCGCCCCGTTGGGGAAGCACCTTCATCGTCTAAAGGACCAACACGCTCTTTGAGTTTTTGTTGAGGAAAAACCCAATAAAAATAGCACATGTTCAGTCAGTTCGCCCTGCACTACATTCCATTCTTTCTTTCTGTATGTTTCCAGGATTGCTGCAGCGATGTGAGCTCTCTGGCTCTGGATCTGGTGAGTCGAATGAGAAACCATCGAACGATGATGTTGAGGAAGTTGATCCGGTTGCTGAACCACCTGTCCAGAAAAAGCCGGCCTCCAAGTTGAAGAAAGGCCGAGCGGAGGTGGAATCGGAGGTCACCAACCTTGGTGGCAAGTCTGGAAAAGATGATGAGGATAATGGAGATGGAGATGATTGTGGGGCCCTTGGGGGTAGTGACAAAAAGAAAAAAAGGGCAAGTCAGAGTCCAAGAAACAGAAACATGAAAAGAAAGAGAAAAGCACTCGGAAATACAAAAAGCGATCTGGGAAACAAAAGGGTTGCGATGATGGTGGTTCCTTGTCTGACGAAAGCTCAGACGACTCGGAGGGATGCCCTGAAGTTAGTCATGATGACTTGATGGCGGCATTTGAGCGCTGTGAGATGGCTGAGTCGAAGGTGGGCCCTCAAACAAAAACATTCTGTCATGATCATCCTGTCTAGGTTCCCTGTTTCAAACCAAAGGATATTTCCTAAGGAAATCTAAGGAGATAGACCCTTTAAAAGAACGTGTTTTCTTGAAATGAAGGATATACAATAAATGGACTTTCCATCCAAGTTCTTTTCGTTCAAGACCCTCTCCCCAGGCCATGGGCCTCCATGACAATGAGTCTCCGGGTCCGTTCACTGTGTTTCCAAGCTGTGGCGAAGACTTTGCCCAGCAGGCCTGGCAGAATCAGTCATCAAACAGTGGCCCACTCTAAGTTTACCTCAAAGGTTATGGGACTGACAGGATTCTCCTTCCCACCTGTTTTTGGGGTGCTATGGATGCTATCTCTGCAGAGGCTATGGATGCTCCCTGGATTCCGATGAGCGAAGAAGAGGACTGGACCCCGTCATACTGTTGATCCGCCCACAGTCGACCCCTGGTGCTCCTTTTTTTCACTGGCCGGTCAGGCGACAGCAGGTTCATGTGCCTAGCTCCAGGGGCCCCACGCCTCCTCTTCATATTCTTCAAGCCTCCGGCGGTAGCACTTTGGAAGGTTCGAACTGGACATCGGCCTCGGAGACTCCTCGCCATCAGCATCGGTCCAGGGCCCTTCACATGCCTCTGCAATCTCACTCCCCTCTGCCCAGCTCAGCCATGTCTCTTGCTTATTCTCCTCTTCCCAGCTCTGCCATGAGTCTTGCCTTCGATCCTTTTCATCCTGAATCCATGTGACACCATCATTGTCAGTCTCATTGTCCTCGAACTCCTCCGGCCATGCACGCATCTTCTTTTTTGAGCTGTTGTAGTCTTCGCGTGCAGGGCGCTTCTTTGGCTTAGGGCCTGTAGCCTTGAGTGCTGCTGCTGCTTCTGCTGGCGCTGCTTCTTTTGTAACCAACCCCGCTGGGATGGGGTGTGGGAGCTTTGAGCTGCCCCCCTTGCTGCCCTTCCCTGGAGCTTTGTCTGAGCCCTTTGAGCTGCCCCCCTTGCTGCCCTTGCCTGGAGCTTTGTCTGAGCCCTTTGAGCTGCCCTCCTTGTTGCCCTTCCCTGGAGCTTTGCCACCTTTGCTGCCCTTCCCTCCCTTGCCTTCACCTTTGGCAGGGATCCAAGCCCACACCCTCAGCCACATTGCAAGAGCTGCAGGCCTACGGTCAGTGTAGGTCCTCCTTTGGGCCAAAGGATGGAAGGGATGCAGTGCAACTCCCGACAACCGATCAAGTCACATCGAAGTTCGATCGAACCCCGGGTGGTAACCCTAAAGGGCCCTTATCGCAACCCTCAAAATCCTTATAGGACCTTAGACCTTGTTGTGGTACATCTGGGATGGGCCCTGTGCATCCTGTGCACACATGAGACAACAGACCCTAAAAGACAATTTTTGGAAGTGCCCTTTGAAATTTGGTTTACTTCTCAAAGCTCTCAAAACAATTAAAAAGGAACACTTCTGAAAATTGTCTTTTTAGAGCCTGTTGGCCTTTCTTGGTGGTGCTGCTGTTCAACCTCTCTTGCAGGACCAACGACCCGTGGCCAGCGAGCCCCTGCAGGACCGAGCCTTGAGCTGGAAGCTGTAGGAACCATGCCATGTTCACCTTGGAAGGGATACTTTCAATGATTTCTCGAACTTCAAGGAGCGCAGTTTTGATGATCAGGAACCAGTTCAAGCTGTGAAAGAAGCAGTATTGGTGGATGAATGCCACTTGGATGGAGCAATGCAAGGTATGCCAACTAAAAGGTTTTTTTGAAAACTCAGATCTGTTTCTCCCAAGGCCCAGAAGGTGCAGTCCCTGTTGAGGCCTGTGATGACTAAAGATGATTAATAGCTGATTTGTTTCAAGTTCTTTTTTTTCTGGTCAGGCTCCTGTGGCCTTCGAGGATTTGACCAGTGAGTTTACCGAGATTGAGGAAACTGTTTGCTCGACCGCTTTCTTTTGGATGTCATTCTGTTTTGTTTTTTGTGTAGGAAGTAAAGGATGACCGCAAGATGTTGGGGCAAGAGTCGATGTCTCAGTCAATGAGTACATGAGTGTTTGGGCAAGAACCCATAAGTACTCAGGACTCCAATGTCTGTGGCCCGTCCAAAGTTCAAAGCTCAAAGTCCAAAGAAAGCACACTCGAAAGGTAAACATGTTCAGCCAACTGCTGCAAAGTCAAAAGCAAAACCAGTTGCGAAACCAAAGGCTCGTCAGGTGAAAGAAAACAAAAAGAAGGCTTGTCAGGTGAAAGAGACCAAAAAGAAAGGCCTCAAAAATGACTACAACAACATATACAGTCGTACGTACCACTGGTACAAGAGATCTGGAGCTACGAAAGAACAGGCTGGACGCAGTCTTTTTGAAACCATGTTTTTTTGGGGGGGTGGACCTTGACCAGGCCGCCCAGAAAGCTCGTGAGGCCGCCCAGAAAGTCTGAGGATCCGAACTTCCAATGTGCTGTGCGAACCGCTGGATGGGGATTGGGGGAAAACAAGCTGCGGATGGGCGGGTGGGAGTGGCGGCTCTGTGGCGTGGACACAGTGTTGGAGAGTTTTAGAGTTACTTCTAAATTGGAAGAGTTTCAGTCTGCCTGAGATGGCCTTTCATGTTGTCCCAGACAGTGTCCGGGTCATGTCGGTGTGTCTTCCACGCCGCGTCCGCCACGCCTTCCACGTCGCCCCTGTCGATCGGTGCGACACGCGGCGGCGACATGGAGGCGCAAGCTTGGGGAGCAGATGGCGAAGCTGTGCTCTGCTGGGGAACCGAAGGATTGAGCTTTGTGCCACGTGTGATGGCATAAGCTTCTAGAGGATTCGATCATGGCATCCAAGAGGTTTGACTTCATGGGACATGTATAGTCAGACCTGACATTGACAGATCATATACCAGCATATACCAGCACCCTCCAACAGGTCACCACCTGCGACTGTTAAGTCTCCAAAAGCCGCCATTTCGGAGACCTGTAGAGTCGGGTGCTGAGTGCTTTATGTTTTAGACTTGCCGCTCAAATGAACGCCACACACTCCAAACATCCCCAAACATCCGATCATGGCATTGCTTCGCGCACGACCAGCACTCGACTGACCGAGTTCGCCTCACTCGACTGACCACGTAGCCATCCTCACCAGGTCGTGTGTGGCTCCTTGCAGTACCTGCAATTCGCCGACGAGAACAAACAGGCCGCTCAACCTCCCGACCGAGTCTTGGGCGGCCCTCCTCGGGGCCCTGGCGGCCGGACCTGGGGCTTTCCGAGTCAAGAGATCCAATGACATCTTCAATCTATTGTCCAAGTCGTTTGAACGTCAAATGACTGGCCCAAGTGCCAGTCGGTTGTGGCCGTCAGGCAGGTGCCAGTGCAGGTGCCTATCGGCCTGACAGGTGTTTGACCTGAGCAGTTCCATCGGACCTCCGTGAAACGGGTCGGTAGGCCTATGTAGGCCTAGGGTACACAACGGTGATCAACAGGGCAAGAGACCTGGGAGAGTCATGTCTCCTTCATCAATCATTCAGAAGTGAATGCCTGCCAATGCATATCATATCGAATCTTGCTTTTAACTTCACAGCAGGTCTAGTCCAGGACCCACCTTCCTCCCAGTGGTGCTTCATCTCAGCCAGCATGGCTAGTTGAACCGGAGAGCTGCACGACGACTCCGGTCTCTCGCCCTGCCGCGTCTCGCGCGGCCCGGCCCCCAGTTCCATGCCAAGTTCGTGGAATGCTGCCTCGATGCGTTGGGGTGCCCAAACGAGAAGGTGCTAAGGAGACGAAGTACCCAGAAGAGAAGGGGCAAAGGATGGAAAAAGGTGTCTTCTTCAAGTTCTTCAAGTTCCTCAGCAGGATTTTCGTCCCACTTGTGCCCTTTTCTCTTGTACTGGCTGGCGTCTTGGTTTTCCACCTGGGCGGAGTGTCAGTACCGCAGATGGGGGCCACGAGTAAATCTTGAAGGATTCAGAAGGTTGATCTTCTTTGATAGCGCAGCTATCTCTGAGGGATTTTCATGGCAAAAACTAGCACACATGCTTTGCCGAACGCATTCCACTACCATTCATGCCACCGGAGTCTCTCCATGCCACGCGGACTACGTCCTGACACGGACGGCGACACGCCATTGTTTTTTTGCTATACAATCGGATACCGCCCGGATTCAGGAAGCAAACACCGACTTCCAGTGGTTCGGTCACTGGACGACCGGCTCTTCTTGTTAGGGACACGAGCGGATGTGAGAGTCAATCTGAGTTGCAAACCTTCAAAGACTCTTGATAGTGGTCACTGCTACATGTCACTGGGAGAATTTGTTTAAATCCAGCATAGAATCATAAAATCATTTAGAACCCCTACGTACCAAACCATACTTTGACAAGGCCATCACCCGCTTGCCTGACCCTGAGGATGGTGCCACCGAAGCTGGTGCACGCCTTCGTTCAGATGGCGCTTTGGCATGCAGGGGCGTAGTCAACACGTGCGATCAAACGGAGCGGTGTTCCAACGGTATGGCTTTCAGTCTTGCCACCATGCATCCAGACCAATCTGAACTGTTTGACCGGAAAAGATATGAAACAATGACTTTTGGATTACCCCCCGTCCAGAACTTCACTTAAGGAGCCTTGTCCGGTCCTTATACCTTTATATAGCTGGTAGTCATGATCCACCACGTGAAAGAAGATCAAACAAACCTCTAATTCCACAGGGCTTCACTCAAACCCGAGTCCCTTAAAAACCTTCCTTTTTCTCCGCGTTTTTTTAGCCGAGCTTTAGTCGCTCGCTCGTCGCCCTCCTAGCTGCCGCCGACAGACACGAATCGTGCCGATCGAGGCCTTGCATAGCGATCAGAGTACCTCCCAGACTCAGATGGTGGACGATGTGAGGCGCCGGATTGACGTCGAGGACCAAGGCGTCGGTCCGGTTCACGGCCGGGACAAGCCGGGCACATGTATGACCTGGTCCAGGTTTGGAGGCACCCGAAAAGCTGCATGTAGTGCAAAAGCTATGGGAAAGGACGGGGGAACCAGCTTTAGGTGATTTGAATAGATTCACAGTTTCAATGTTCCTCCTGGAATTCATAGAGCTAGGAGCCCCACATGAAGCTCGGGTTGTTTTTGTTGGATCCATTTCTCGGTTCTCAGCACAGGCAACTCTTGGTGAAGATCATCGAGCGTTGCCCCAGTCGGCAGCGGGATACCTGGCAGGTGTGCGACACACGCTTGTGCCGCGCGGAGTTTCGTCCACCACTGGGTTGGGACTGAGGGCTGTAGGATGTGTACGGATGGACTGGAATGGGCTACACTCCTGGACTCCTGGAGATCATCATGGAAGGTGGAAAACCACTTGCAATAAGTAGAGGAAAGGGGTCATCCAAGGGGCCATGCCATCCACGGAACCATGATTTTCAGGGAGTGTGGCACCTACAATGGGAGTGTGATTGAAGAAATGCAGATCAATATTATATACCAGCACCTTCCATCACCTTCCAACAGGTCTCCGTTGCATGGAGGGTTAAACCCGTGCGTTAGGCCCTGTTGCAGGTTGAAACCCTTGGTGACCTGGTTTCAGTCGGTGCTGGCCTGGGTGAGCTGGAGGCCAGCAACACATACATGCCAATGACCCCGTCACACCACCCAGAGTCTACGGAAAGCAGCTCTTGCAGTCGCTGGGTGACCTGGACATGTTGGTGATTTGCAGGAGGGACGGGTCAGAGGATTGGGATGTACGGGACCTTTCAAACGGTCAGAGGAGGCATCAGGTCTGTTTGGTGACTCATATATCAGATCTATTCAGATCTTATTTCTTGGTTCCATTGGCTTCCTCAGTTCTTCAGACATTCTAGATCACCACACTGAGGTTTCACCCATGTTTTAGAGCTTTCACCCCACTTCACAGATCCATACCCTAGCCTTGCAAGACCTTTCAATTAAAGGTTGACCTGTTGTTGTAGTGTAATTTCCTTCGTAAAGCAATGGTTCTCCGGTCAAAATCCTTTAAATCAATGGTTGGCCAGGAAGGCTAGCAGGGCTTATGTTGGAAGCTTTTGGACCTTGGGATGCGCTGATCTCCACTCCGCAGCGCCGCGGATCTCCACGAGCCGCTCTGCGGCAGGTGCTGTGCCTGGCGCTCTTGACCGGTGACATGGACAAGGGCCCCGAATGGTTGTCCGGGCCTCACTGGTGGTCGACAGCTCAATTTGAGGGGAGAGACTTTATACACAAGAGACGAATTAATTGGAAAAACACCCAGACGCTCCATGTATGCCATACATGCCCACCCCAATGTAGGCAAACTATGGCAGTCCCATGGAGCGTCTGGGATATGTTTGTTTTTTTGATGCCCCACTGTTCGGAATACGGCCCAAAGGTGGAATAGGCTGCGCTCAGCGCATGGTTTGGGTGATCTTCCCGCCCCTTCGCAGGAAAACCCATTGGATTCGGTCTGAAGATCTTCCCTTCCGTGCGTCGGGAGCGTGAAGTCGATTCCCTTCTTGGGCTCCCAAAGCACCAAGGGCATCCAAGGGGCTCAGTTTGGTGCTTGGAATCCAACGGATCAGCTCCAGTCGTCACTTCGACATCCGGAGTCAATTCGGCGCCCTTATCTAGACCTCTCCAAGAAGGACTGCCCCATGCGGCCCATAGAAGTACACACATCACATACTTGTATCTGTCGCAAAGCGACCTCCTTTGCCACTTTCCAGTTGCCTTGTCCCAGGATGGACCTGTCAGAAGAAGTTCAGAAGAGCTTGGACTCCCAGCGCTACGCGACGTTCCGGCGATTTCTCATGACTCTGACGCGGTATCGGTGAAGAAAGATCCGGAGGAGGTTCTGCCTGTCCTTGTTTGGTGGATCTACCCTTGGGTATCGGTCTAGAAAGACCATGAGAGACCTGACGCTCCCAGACGCTCCCCCAGGCGCAGCGCAACGCATCCTGGAAGAGCAAGAAGCGGCCAAGGCCGCGCGCCGACCCGCGCGACTGACCGCACCGCAGATCAGTGTTGCCCCCGAAGTCGTTGACCCAGTGGCCAGTGTTCAGCACCTGCCAGTGGCCAGTGGCCGGACATCCAGATGGTACATGAAGGTACCTGGCCTCGACCCCGCTATTAGTCCCAAAAGGGAAACAATTGGTTGGGTTTCAGGGTTTCAGGAGTAGCCCCTTGTTTTTGACATTGGTCGTGCTACACAGTGTCATTGCAATTCCTTTGTCAACCTTGATTGCCCTAGAAGTTTAGGTCGTCCTCAACTCAACCAACCACACATATGGAATAATATATGGAATAATATAATATGGCATGGATCTTCTAACTTATATACCCGCCTTCCAGCCTGTTGCATCGAGATGAGTCACTAGTCGAGTCGTTGCCAATGCTCCAGTCGTGATGATTGGAACTTCATCGAGGGAACTTCTCGAGACATCGCAGATGACACGTGAAAACACCAGATGCAAGACGATACCCAGAGACTCCACGTATGCCATATATGCCTACATTGGGGTGGTTTTGGGGGTCAATGTAGGCAAATATGGCATACATGGAGTCTCTGGGATAAGTCATTCTCTTCACGGAAATCCGCAGGACGTGAGACAGAACGGACGGTCCCACAGTGCCAACGAGAACCAGCCTGCTTCACGAAAGCACTGGCTAGCCTAGCAGAGTTTGTATGCCCCACGTCATGAATCATGGAGTTTAGTTGAGCTTCAGTTTTCCTCATCTGGAACCTAGGTGCTCGTGGTTCCATGGTCCTGAGGTTGTTACAACAGATCGATCCGTTTCATACGACCGGACCAGGCCTTTGGCACGCAGAAGATCAAGTTCGAAGATAGCCCGGGTGATCAAGTGGGTGTCCACCACTGGGTCGGACTTCTTTTGTTTTCACCAAAGTGTCCATGGGACTGGAATATCATACATTGGATACCTGGATACCCATTGTGCCCCATCCATGGTCAGTATCTCTTCCAGTCCCATGGATGCTTTGGGTCCTGCGGAGGGTCGTCGCCCGAGGCACGCTTCGACGCCGGAAGGACACGCGGAGTGCTTCGGAGTGACGGAAGAAGCCACGCAAACCACCCACAGAGGTTGAAGAACCCTATAGACATGCATCTATATATTTTTTCTTTGTTTCTACCAGCCATGGCCTCCAAGCTACTGGCGATGGCCTCCAAGCTACTAGCATAGGTATCCCAGTACAGTAAGGTCTTAGTTCAGCTCACTTAACCTCTAAGAAGGCACGAAGAAGGCAGGTGGGAACCTTGAAGTTCAGTTGAGGTCACAGGGTGGGTCGGAACCTGCAGCGTTTGGTCAAAACAAGGTTCGTGTCTAGAAACCCAAGAGGTGGGCAGTGGGCATTGGAAAACCATGAACACCACTTCCTTTAGCAATCGTGAAGAACTTGCCAGTCTACAATCAGATTCCAGAAATATGACGTATATAACTGTGACAGCATGTAGACAAGGCCACAGGTCACATTAATAGTATAGGAACAAATGTCACTGAGATAGTCACTGAGATAGTCGCGTGTAGACGGCCCGCTGCTTGAATGCAGAATCATCGTGTAGCAGCGAAGGGGCTAAACGAAGGCCATGTAGCCGCTCATGGGCTCTTCAGCTTGAGGCCAGCCAGAGCGGGCCTTGGGCTCCTATAGCGTCGAGGCCCGCCCTGTTGTTCGACAGTTCTATCAGGGTGGGAGCCAGAATGGCAGGATGATGCAGGATGATCCAGGATCGCAATTTCGGTTCTCACATGTCGTCAACGCGGTCAAAACTGTGGTGCTGGTACTGTAAGAATTCCCTGCCAGGAGCTCATTTTTTGACTGACAGCCACAACATGGCGAAAAGAACATCAAGCTTGTTTTCATTTGTAAGACTTGACCTCCTCTTGCAGAGGTGCTTGTTCTCATATGTTTCAGCCGCCAGTTCCATCAGATCCTGACGCTTCCCCCTTTTTTAGGGTTGTCGTTTGAGTGTTGTGATAGAAAAAACAGACGATATGAGGCTCGTGAGGTCTACTATATTCATCTATATTCTACTATTGATAGACCGTGCTCTGTATACAATGAGCACGGTCTACAACCTGTGGCACTGCTCCGCCGCTCGGGGCGGAGCTCCGCACGGAGGTCTTGGCCTTTGACCGGCGCCTGACCGTCGGGTGCCGAAGGCCCACAGAGGCATGGAGCATGGAGGTGAGGAGAAGAAGAGGTCGAAAGGTACACTCCCTAGAATGAATAACTCACATGGTTGGCCTGGACCCGAGTCTGGAAGACCATGTTCCATCCACAAACCAAACAGGTGGTGAACTCCACTTCCATGTTCGTTCCAGGGAGAGTATGAAGGTGATGTCCCTCAAAGCTCCAAAGGTGAATGTGAAAACACCTGCGGCATGAAGGGATGTGTCGTTGGTTGTTTCCTAAACCCTAAAGCCCTGGTGACCCAAAGAATTCTCAGACAATGACAGCCACACATGTTTTTCATTGTTTCATGCAGAGATCACACAGTGGCTACTCATCATCATGGCTTCACAGGCGTCCAATCCGCACCGGGCACGCATGCCCAAGGTCTCTCGGGCGGAGCAGCATGCCAACTTGAACCTCGTGGTGACGAATAAGGCCCCGCAGTGTGGGTTAGTTTCCTTTCGGTCGACGCACGAAGGTCGACAGCAGAAGAACTAGTAGTAGTAATACAGTAGCAGTAGCAGTAGCAGTAGTAGTAGTCGTAGTGGTAGTGGCAGTAGCAGCAGCAGCAGCAGCAGTAGCGGTGGCAGTGGCAGTCGCAGTTCTAACCTAGCAGCAGCAGTAGTAGTAGCAGCAGTAGCAGTAGTTGTTGTTATTGTTGTTGGGTTGTTATGGTTGTTCTTGTTTTTGTTCTCGTCAGTTGAACGTTGTATAGCTTAAAGCCTTAAGGTGCTCCGTTTGGGGTGCCCTTCGCAGTCGTGCATTGGTCCCCATCAATGCATCACCCCCTGGCCGCCTCGCGTCCGGAGGCCATTCGCGTCGTGGATAGCAGTGTGGAGGGATACCCTGCAGAAGATCCGGGACAGATCCCAGCCGCTTGGAGATGAGGAAACATGAGGAAACCTTTTTGGGGGGTGACTGAGACTGAAGAATTCCTGGGTTCTGACGGGTTTTTGGACACCCCCTTCTTGACGACCTTGACCTTCTCAGACCTTTTGAGACCATTTCTGAGCTTGTACCCACCATAGTCCAAATTATTTAAACACCCTTAAAACTATAACTATTGATAGGCTTCGCACACCGGCGATGCCCTCGGGGATGTGCGCGAAAGAGCCTTGACGGCGTTGGCGCCGGGCACCGTGGGACGTTGTTCAGGAACGTTGCTTCAGCGACAACCCCAGTGGCTGCAACAGCGTTCGCTGGCGTTTCATGTCGAACATCGGGCCATCGAACGCCCTGGAGATGATGCTCGCTCGAGCCGGCAGCTTGTTGACCGCCAATTTTGGATGTCTGGAGCGGCTTGGAGTCAACGCTGCAGGGATACAGGAGGAGACAAGAGTGCAGTCATATTTGGCAGGAAAATTTCACTTACTCAAGAGGCATATAGCCTGGACTTCAAGCGGACATTGCGCACCTTCGGGTATTCATTTGTGACTGGGTGCGGCGGAAACCTTCTGATTGCAATGGGTGGCACGGGCAGACAGCAAATAGAAGTGATCAAAGATGGGAACTTTGTGAACAAAGAGGTCACGAACGAATGGAAAGTTGAAGCGGAGAGGCTGCATTTTCTGGTGGCGGTGGTGTCTTGGGAGGATGCGCAAGGACAAGCTGTGGAACGAGCTGGAAGTCCTTTTTGGCGTGTGTAGCATTCACATACACAATGACCTTGCGAAAAAGCGAGGCGCTATGGAGCCAATTGCAGAAAGCTTTTGGCAAATGATCCTCGAATTGGGAGTGACCTTTGTGGGAGGAGATTTTAATCAGGGATTCCCAATTATGTGCGAGGTGCTGGAGCAGGTTCTTCGCAGGACGCAGGCACCGTTGGCCCCGCACTATCACAATCCACCGCTAATGTCTGTCAGTTCCAATGTGCATGGAAGGACCTGCGCTGTTGCAGGTGATCCTTGTCTGTGCTCTTGCGCTGCAGAGGGCAAACTCGAATGCTTTGCAGGTTGGATACAGCGCATGTAATGAAGAGGATGGTGGTTCCTCATCATAGTGTACTTAAATGTTTTCTCACGCAGTACCTTTGCAAGCATGCTGTTCGTTGACTTTCAGCATAACGGAGGCCTGAAGAAGTTGATTGCGTTTGAAAATGCAAGGCTTTGAGAAATCTGGCGTAGGTCTTGCATGAACTGAAGTAGGCCCAGTAGGCAGTAAAATCCTGATTCTGAGATTGTTTGAAAAAAAGACGGAGTCAGGTTATGTCTCAAAACAATGCGTTTGCAATGGTAATTGAGGCAACTATCTCGCACATGCAATGTAAGGAAAAGTATGCCTTGCTCTTGGCTGCTCGATCAGGTGCATTGAGGGCAGACCATTGGATTCCGTAGCCTCATACATGTTATGGAAGTATCTCAGCTTTTGTTTTGGTTGTATGCCCGCCTGCGGGCAAGTTTACATCCGTTTGTATGATTGCTAGTTTTTGAATCTTGGAGATGGTGATCAAAATTCAACCGTTGTGTCCGGAGATCAGCGGTTGTATTTGCGTTGGTCGGAGGAAAATTAATTGTAGCGGCAAACTTCTGCATGTTGAGGCACGTCACGTGTAGAGACGAATACTACTACTA